AACCGCCGAACCAAAAATCGCTCGCTAGAAGCCCACAACAACACAGACACAATTAATCGTCGATTGCCCAGATAATATGGGAAACTATGGCAAGTGGGTGGGAAGACAGGCGCCCCGAAAATATGGGAAAATACTGGGAGCCTGGCTATTTGTGTTTATTGATTCTCTTGCACGGGGTGTCTAGAGCTCCGACCACTTTATCCCGCGTCGCAGAACCACCTCCCCCCGCCCCCCCCCGCGCCCCCAGCGCCACAGTGGGACCCCGCTCCGCGGCCCTCTGCCCCGAGCCCCCCCCCGCGTCCCCAGCGCCCCAGTGGGGGCCCCGCCCATTGCCGCCTCCGCCACAAAAGCTTTTTTCCGCGTCACACACCCACCTCCCCCCGCCTGCCCCCCCGCGTCCCCAGCGCCACAGTGGGACCCCCGCTCCGCGGCCTTCTGCCCCGAGCCCCCCCGCGTCCCCAGCGCCCCAGTGGGAGCCCCGCCCATTGTTGCCCCCTCCGCCACGAACGCTTTACTCCGCGTCGCATACCCACCTCCCCTCGCCTGCCCCCCCGCCTGCCCCCCCGCGTCCCCAGCGCCACAGTGGGACCCCCGCTCCGCGCCCCTCTGCCCCAGCCCCCGCGTCCCAGCCCCAGTGGGGGCCCCGCCCATTGCCCTCCGCCACAAAAGCCGCGTCGCACACCCCACCCCCCCCGCCTGCCCCCCCGCGTCCCCCCAGCGGCACAGTGGGACCCCCGCTCCGCGGCCCTCTGCCCCGAGCCCCCCGCGTCCTCAGCGCCCCAGTTGGAGCCCGCCCATTGCCCCTCCGCCACGAACGCTTGGTGGCCCGCCACAGTGGGACCCCCGTTCCGCGGCCCTCTGCCCCGAGCCCCCCCGCGCCCCCAGCGCCCCAGTGGGAGCCCCGCCCATTGCCCCCTCCGCCACGATCGCTTCATTCCGCGTCGCACGCCCACCGCCCGCCCCTCCCCCCGAGGCCCCAGCGCCACAGTGAGACCCCCGCTCCGCGGCCGTCTGCCCCGAACACCACCGCGTCCCCAGCGCCCCAGTGGGAGCCCCGCCCATTCCCCCCTCCGCCACGAACGCTTTATTCCGCGCTGCTGACACCCACCTCCCCCCGCCCATTCGTCCGCACCCCCAGCGCCACAGTGGGACCCCGCTCCGCGGCCCTTTGCCCCGAGCTTCCCAGCGTCCCCAGCGCTTCAGTGGGAGCCCCGCCCATTGCCCCCTCCGCCGTCCATTGCCGCCCCCGCCACAAAAACTTTATCCCGCGTCGCACACCCACCTCCCCGCGCCCCGCCCTCCGCGCCCTCAGCGCCACATTGGGACCCCCGCTCCGCGGCCCTCTGCCCCGAGCCCCCCCCCGCGTCCCCAGCGCCCCAGTGGGGGCCCCGCCCATTGCCGCCTCCGCCACAAAAGCTTTTTTCCGCGTCACACGCCCACCTCCCCCCGCCTGCCCCCCCGCGTCCCCAGCGCCCCCAGCGGCACAGTGGGACCCCCGCTCCGCGGCCCTCTGCCCCGAGCCCTCCCGCGTCCTCAGCGCCCCAGTTGGAGCCCGCCCATTGCCCCCTCCGCCACGAACGTTGTACTCCGCGTCGCAGCCCCGCCTCCCCCCGCCGTGTCCCCCGCGTCCCCCACGCCACAGTGGGACCCCCGTTCCGCGGCCCTCTGCCCCGAACACCACCGCGTCCCCAGCGCCCCAGTGGGAGCCCCGCCCATTCCCCCCCCGCCACGAACGCTTTATTCCGCGTTGCAGACCCACCTCCCCCCGCCGTGTCCCCCCGCGCCCCCAGCGCCACAGTGGGGACCCCGCTCTGCGGCCCTCTGCCCCGAGCCCTCCCGCGTCCCCAGCGCCCCAGTGGGAGCCCCGCCCATTGCCCCCTCCGCCACGAACGCTTTATTCCGCGTCGCAGACCCGCCTCCACCCGCCCCTCCCCCCGCGTCCCCATCGCCACTCTGGGACCCCCGCTCCGCGGCCCTCTGCCCGTGCCCGAACCCTCCCGCGTCCCCAGCGCCCCAGTGGGACCCCCGCCCATTGCGCCCTCCGCCACGAACGCTTCATTCCGCGTCGCGACGCGCACCGCCTCCCCCACCTTCCTCCGCGCGTCCCCAACAGCTCAAAGGGAGCTCCACCCCCACCACCACCACCACAGCCACCACCACCACCACCACCGCCACCACCACGACCACCACCACCATCGCCACCACCACCGCCACCACCACCACCACCACCACCACCACCACCACCACCACCACCACCACCACCACCACCACCACCACCACCACTAGCACCACCACCCACCACCACACCACCACCACCACCACCACCACCACCACCACCACCACCACCACCACCACCACCACCACCACTGCCCCACGTCCAGTGCCCTCCCCACCCTGTCCCCCTTCCGCCCTGACCATTCAATTTCGGCGTCGCACCCTCCCCCCGTCTAGCCACTCCAACCGCTCCCCCCTCCCCAGCCGCCCTCTGCATCCCGCCCCCTCCGCCCCGACCACTTTATTTCGGCGTCGCACCGCCCCCACCGCGCCGCCCCTCCCGCGCCTCCACCCACCCACCCACACCAACCACCACCACCACCACCACCACCAGCGCGACCCCCTCCGCCCCGACCATTCCATTCCGGCGTCGCACGGCCCCCACTGTTCCGCCCCCACGATCGTTCTCCCCTCCCCGCCCGCCCAGTGCACCCCGCCCCTCGTCCGCCCCGACCACTTTATTTCTGCGTCGCACCGCCCCCGCCGTCCCGCCCCTCCGAGACTTTTCCGATTTCTCGTCCCCTCTCTCCCCCCCTTGCCTCCTCCTCCTCCTCCTCCTCCACCTCCTCGTCTTCCTCCTCCTTCGCCTCCTCCTACTCCTCCTCTTCCTCCTCTTTCCTCCTCTTTTTCCTCCTTCCCCGTCCGTTTTGTGCGAGAGCCATGGCGCGCGTGCCACTCGTCTGTGTGTCCCAGCTCCCCTTCAGACGCCGCCGGGCCCTCCCGAGGAAGGCGAAGGCCCCCTTGCCTCGATGCCCAGAGGCGCCGCCGCCCTCCAGGGGGAGGCCGCCCCCCTCGCGCCGTGCTCGAGTCGGGCACGCCCACTCCACAGGGGGAATAGCCCCAGCCAGTCCAAGAACCAACGATTTTTCCTATATTGATTTGTCTTGTACTGTTTTCGATCATTTCCCTCGTTTTCTCCAACATCTGCCGGTAGTCTGGAGACGATGTGTCGACTATTGTTTGGTTATGTTGTTTGAACCTGTGTGGGCTATTCTTTGCGTTTCCTCTGAGGTCCGCCTGCAGGAGGAGATGCCCGACCTAACGCTGTATCCCTGTGCGCGCCGCCAACCTCTCGTGGGGGGACGGCAGGTTCGAGGTTTGAGGTTTTCCGGCTTTCTCGTCGATTTTCCATGAGCTCGTTCCACCCTTCTTTCCTTCCTCCTCCTCCAACGGTTCGAGGTTTTGTAGATTCTCAGTAGATCTCGGCGGTTTTCCATCCTCGGGGTGCTTTCCAGCAGCTGCGCCTCGCCGAGGGCGTTCCCTGGAGGGGGGGGGGGGCAGACCCTTCCGAGCAGCCTCTGGGCACCCGTGGCACGACCCCAGCGCGGGACGACGAGGATCGCCACGGGTTCGGGCCTCAAGAGACGGGGGTCAATGCAAACGTTAAGTCGGGCCTGTGCCTCTACAGGGGGGATGTTCAAAAATAGTCCAAAAATAGTCGGGGGACGATTTTTTTCATCATTTTGTTGGAGGGGGTATTCTTGGGTATTTTTCATTGTTCGTCCAAAATCCGCCTGTAGGGGGACATGCCCGACTTAATGCAAACCAGGGTCAGCCAGTGCGCCGGATCTTGCAGGCGGGGGGCGCATTGTCCCGGCTTTGGGTGCGGGATCATGCAGGATCTTGCAGGGCCTGGGTTGCACTGACCCGGGCTTGGGTGCAGGATCCTGCAGGATCCCCGACTGGGCCGGGTCTGGACTGACCCGGGTCAGAAGATCCCCGACGGGTGCCCGTGAGTCGGTCGGCTTGGCTGCGTCGCAGTCGGCTGCGCTCGGTCGGTTCGGCTGGGGCGCTGCCGCGTCGCTGCGCCCCTCCCGGGCCAATCCTGCGGGGCCCATCGCGCGCTGCCGGTCTCGGCCTCGTGGTCGGCTCCGTCGGTTCTCGGTCGCGCCGCCGCCATGGCGGGTGGGAGGGCGGGATCATACCACTTCGGCGCCCGGAGTTTTTCATAAGACGAGCGGGCCGGAGCGGAAGAAGGCAGACGGTCTGGAAGGGTGACGGGGGTCCCTGGTCGCAGAGAGGACTCAGGCACCGGGCCCGCTGCCGCAGTCTCAGGAGCGTCCGACAGGAGGGGGCGGAAGATCGGAGGAGATGCGGGGGGGGGGCGGAGACAGGGAAGAGACGGGCGGGGAGGAGGGCTTGGTCGCTGGGCATGGGCTGCTTGGGCCTGGTATCGCTCGGACGTGTGTATGTCTCTCGGGGGGGTACCATCGAGAAGCCTTTCGGGTAATTTTGCAAAAAGGTACACGCATGGAGCCGAAACATGCACGGGAAATGGGCGTCCGAGCGAGGGCGAGCGGGAGCAGTAGGGGTAATTTGGCGATGGGCTCCTCCTGCCTTCCAGTTCTCTTTCGGCGGGATGAGCCTAGAGAGATGTGGGTGCGCAGTGATGCCAGGTGAGGCTCAAGAGACGGGGGTCAGGATCCTGCAGGATCCTGCGAAGACCCACCCTGGCTGACCCGGGTTAGCGAGCCGCTCGTGGCCGCGAGGCGGCCGCGCGTATTGGCTGACCGGGGTGTGCGAAGACCTGCGTTGCAGTTTTTCCTTCTCCTGCACTGCAGGTTTTGGTTTCCTGCTGGCCCGGGTCTGGATGGACCCGGGCCAGAAGATCCCCGATCTGGCGGCCGATCTGGCGGGAGCCGGCTCTGCGCAGGGTCCCTGCAGGCGGGGGCTGGAGCGGACGCGCCCTGCGGGCAGCGCCCCCCCCCCGGGCCGCCGCCGGGAAGGCCGAGGTGGACCTGGAGAACGTGGAGGCCCCGGCGGCCCCGCCTCTGCCGGCGGCCCCCCCTGCGTCCCCTCCGCAGGCCCCCGGGAGGCCAGGACCCGGAGATGGAGCCAGGATGCGGATATGAGCCGAGGGAACGACCTCCTCGGCTGCAGCGCCACATCTTTCAGCACCCCCGTGCATTCTCTGTTTGCTGCCCTGCAGGATCTTCGTGTGCGTGTGTGCGGGTCTAGGGGGTCGTCCTGCAGGCTTTTGCGGGCCTGTGTCCGGGTTCACTCTGGGAAGGTCGGAGGGCACCAACTATACACCAACACCGATCCTGGCCAGGATCGGTGTTGGTGTATAGTTGGTGCCTTCCTAGAAGGTTTCAGTGCAGTATTTTGCTCGTGCCGCCGGCTGGCCAAAACGGTTCTCGAGAGATGCTGCGTGTCCGGGTCTCTGGCGTGTCCGACGGGCCCCGGAGGTCTCGGCCCTGTGCTTCGGCGGCGGTTTGTCATCCTGGAGGGGTCGTCTTGTGGGCGGTCTCGGGGCCCGGCGAGAGCCCGCGGAGGCCGAAGGTATCGTGGGGGGTGGACAGAACCCCCAACAGTGACACGTCGATTAGTGAATTGTCCGTTTTCGATTCTCGAGAGGGCGCCGTGGCCGTTGTTTTCCAGGCTTGCGCCCGCCAGCTTTGGGCCCGAAGTCGTTTTCATTAAACCACGTTTTACTAAAGGGGGGTCTGTCCATCCCCGAGGTATAGAGTAAGCATCACCGCATCCCCCGGATAATCAGTCAGACCCCCCCCCGTTCGCACTGAGCCATTACATGATCCACGGGCGGTGCAGACTTGGTCGGGGAAGGGGGGCGGCGAAGCCGGACTTGCTCATCGCGGGAGACAGTTGGGAATCGAAGTTGCTCTCTGCTTCCGTTGAGTAGCAAGGATTCCTCAGGATTCCTTTGGGTTTTTTTAGGAGTTTCGCATTGGTGTCCAAAGGAATCCGATGGATATCCTAAGGATTCGTAAGGATTGCTGGAGGATTTTGTTGGGGTATCCGAAAGGCATTCCTATGTAATTCCAAACTATTATTATGGTCGTCCAGGATAATATTTATAATCATCATCATCATCATCATCATCATCATCATCATCATCATCATCATCATCATCATCATCATCATCATTATCATTATCATTATCATTATCATCATCATCATCATCATCATCATCATCATCGTCATGATCTTCATCATTACGCTGATATCTCCGGGACAACGTTTATATTATCTTTCCTGGACCCCGAGCTGTTTTATCCCCAAGGGATTCATATCAGGAGCAGTATGCTATCCCGTTAAGATGCAATTCGGTGCGTTGTTGGGCTTGGGCTCTGCGTATGGATTTGCACAAGCTCTTGAGCAGTCCTTGGCATTCATCAGATTCTTTGAGGGGGGGGGGTCGAAGCGGCTCGGCATGAAGAGATGGAATGGGATGGGATACAATGGAATGAGATGAGATGGCATGGGATGGGATGGGATCGCATGGGTGGAAATTGGGATGGGAATGGGATTGGGAAGTTGGTCGAGGACGAAGTCAAAATGGAGGAGGTGGATGGGGGAGGGGGGGAGGAGCAAGAGGGGGAGAAGGGAGGAGGAGGAGGACGAGGAGGAGGAGGAGGACCGTGAGGCAGAGGCGGAGGCCAGGGGCCAGGGGCCAGGGGCCGGGCGCCGCGCGGGCCGCCCGAGGACATGTACCTGCGCCACGTGGACAGCCAGAAGGACGGGGCCGCCTCGGTCGGTCGGCCGCTCTGTCGTGTGCGGGCCCCTCGCCGGCGCCTGCCGAGGCCGGCCCCGCCTCGTGCTGAGCGTGTGGTTTGCTATGGTGCCGGTGCCGTCAGCGCGCGCAGGGTGGGCACGGCCGACCACAGCACGCTGCACAGCAGAGGGTTTCTTCGTCCAGCGTGGCTGCGAGGAGGAGTGCTCGGGTCTTGTCGACGAGCACGGATCCCTTCCCCTACGTTCGGCATCCCAATACCCCGAGGCCCGTCTGAAGGATTCGCACCGTCTCTGGGGACAGATCCCTGGGACGCATCCGATCGATTCGCCCCACTGGAGCCCACCCCCCGTGCTCCGTTCGGCGGCGGCGACATTATCGGGCGAACTCTTGGACGTTCTCGTCGGCTCCCGGAGGCTTCCCTGCCTTGGGATGCGTTCCAGCAGCTGCGCCTCCAGATCGCCCCGAACGGTCAGCGTAGACCCGAGTTGTGGACCGACAGCCGGGGTCAGGGTCAAGTTTCGATCCGATCCGATCCGATCCGAATCGATAGTTAGCGGTTCCAGCCGGGCCGATCCGAGTCGATTCCGATTTTCCGAAGATCAGATGCGGCCCGATGCTTGCATGGTGCTGTTGCGCATCCTGGTGCGGCCGATCCGATTCGATTTCGATTCCATGTCGATGCAGTGCGATTCCAATGAGCGGTCCGAATATATGTGTATATATACATATATATATATGTATACACAAACACACATTTGATCGATTCGATGCTGACTGCCCCCGCACAGACAGTTCCCAGACCCCCCTCGAGACGAGAGAAAATTACGACGCGGCCGGCTTTTGGCTTGTTTTTTCGGCCTCTGGGGGCCCTCACTGGGCTCCAGGTCGTCAGAAAGCGAATCAGGATTAGAATTATGGTGTTCCAACCTACTTTAGCCTTGATCACCAGAAAGAATTTCGAGCACAAGCAAATTCCGAAACTCGAGGGCTTTCACGTGTCGGGCCCCTGGAGACACTCGTCCGACACTGTTTTGACACTGTCTCGACACTCTTTCGACAATTTTCCGGGTGCTCCAAATTATATTTAGGGTATGGTCCTTAAGTACGATGGTAGCATCTGGGAGCACCATCAGATTAGAAGCTGGTCCTGGGGAAGGGGCCTGGACTTCGGGGGGCATGCGAGACCTCCTCGCCGCCAGCCGTCGGCGGGCACTCGCAGCCTCATTGACCTCCTCGTCCTCCTCCTCCTCCTCCTCCTCCTCCTCCTCCTTCTTGTCGTCATCGTCCTCCTCCTCCTTCATCTCCTCTCCCTTCTCCTCGGCTGGATGCTGCAGAGAGCTCTCTTCCCGTCATTTGGGAAGCAGGCGGTTTTTCCACGCACAGGCATCGGCATCCGATCACTTGTCGGCGGCGAGCGAGGGGGTGGCGTGAGAAGGAGAAGGCCTTCTCAGAAGGCGGCGGGACTTCTCAGAAGCCCTCGCGCCCTCTGAGAGTTTCTTTTTGTCTTCGAGGAAGGCTCAGACAACTTCCCAGAAGGCTGGGGGACTTCCGATACTTCTGAGGAGGCCCGCCCCTTCTCACTTCCCCCCCTCGCTCGCCGCTGAACTTGGACTCTGGGGGTCGACGTTGTGAGCAAATCGCGGCATCTGTGGCCTGGCCTCGTTGGTCGCAGGCGTCTTTTCGATGCTCGCATGGCCTATGCCCCGGTCGATCTGCCTCGAGCGCCTCACCTGCTCGTCAGTCGGGCTTGTCCCTCTACGGGAGGACTGTTCGAGAAAGGCAAACAGACTGTCTGGGGTCTGGGGACGAGCTTCCTTGACTTCTGTAATCCATTCGTCCTCCAGCATCCGCCTGTAGGAGGACATGCCCGACCTAACCCTGCTCCCCTGGATCGAGGGGGGGCGCCTCCTTGGGGGGTGGGCCGAGGCACCGCCCGCGCGGCCTGCGCTCCCGCTCCCTGTCGTGCCCACCCACGCGCTCCAACCTCAGCGGAGGCAAAATGGTACGTTCCCCAGGTCTCTCAAGAAGCGTGGGAGGGTGTGGATCGCGTGGGGGGGGGCGGGAAACCGCTGTCCTTCGGGGGGCGTGGGGAGGCCGGGGAGCGAGAGGGGGTGGGTTTGGGGCGCGTGTGGGGGGGGGGCAAGGGGCGTCGGACAGGTTGGCACGGGGGGGAGGGGTGCTTCTTGAAGGATCTGGAGTACGCATACGGCCACCTCTGCCTCGTTTTCCTTCTTTTTTGGGGGGGGCCTCCTGGGAGGCCCTCGTCGCCACGGGTGGAGGACTCTCCTTTCGAAATCCTGGCCAGAGTGCACCCTGGGAGAGGTCGGGGGAGCAGCGGCATCGATTCCCCTTGGTTTCCCCATTCTCAGGGGTGGGCCGAGGCACCGTCTGCTCTGACCGTGCTCCCGCTGCCCTCGTGCCCACACCTCAACTCCAGCGCACAGACAAAAATCATGGCGGATCTCCTGCGCAGCGGTCAGCCTCGCGGAGCCCTCCCCGGGCCTCCTCTCCGCCTCCTCGCCCCCCTCCCTCCCTCTCTTCCTCCCGCCCCCCCCCCCGCCGCGTGCCTCGGAGGACACGGCCACCCAGTTCTCCGTCTCCGTGGCGGAGTTCAACCGCAAGGCCGCCCCCCCCCCAGGGTCACGGGAGAGCCTGCCAGGCCAGGGGTCCAGGGGGAATGGCCCGGTTCCTCCTCGCCCTCCTCCTCCTCGCCCTCCTCCTCCTCGCCCCCTCCTCCTCCTCCTCCTCCTCCTCCTCTTCCTCCTCCTCCTCCTCCTCCTCGCCCTCCCTCCTCCTCCTCGCCCTCCTCCTCCTCCTCGCCCTTCTCCTCCTCCTTTTCCTGCTCCTTCTCGCCCTCCCTCCCGCCTCCGCCCTCTGGGGGGCAACGACAGGCGGGGATGGGCATGCAGTCGAGCATCTGATCAAGGAGCCTCCTCCCCGAGCAAGAGCTGGGCCAGCGTCTCTTCACCAGCTCGCCAGAGAGCTGGCCCAGTTTCTGGAGCACGCTCGCCTGCTCCAGCGTTTTGTCGGGCCTGTCCCTCTGCAGGAGGGGGAATCAAACATTGTCGAAAAAAAGTCTGGGGACGATTTGTTGATTATTTGTGGGAGTATTTTTGATTAGTTTTGGAATATTCGGTATTTTCCGTCTGTGGGAGGACATGCCCGACCTAACTCCAGCGGGGGCAACTGGAAGTGACGCAGGTTTGTTGTCAGACATTTCTGGGAAGCCGTCCAAGGTTTCTACAACTTGTTTTTGTTTCTCTTGATCAGATTTCTGGCGGTAGGGGGGCTGCCTCGACCCCCACTTGGCCACTGATCGCCGACAGGGGGCCCGACGGCCCCGGCCCGCCGAGGAAGGTGCGGCCTCGCCGTCGGGGGCATTCAGCCGACCCGTCGACGGTTTATCGCTTGTTTCAGCTCGATGCGCTTCCCCCTGTGCCAGTCCCCCGCCCGTCGTCGCCTCTCCATTCTTCGAAAAAGGAACAGTTGTGTAAACACGAGCTCTCGACGGCCCGCATGGATCTCTTGGATCCGCCGCTGGCGCCCCCTGGCGGTGCCTCCGGCGCCGCCCCCGGCGCGCTCCGCGCGCCAGGAAGGGGTGTCCAGCGCAGGTCCCAGGATTCCGCGCGCACCGTCCAGGCGGCCCCCCCCCTGGCAGTCCCGGCGGGCCTCCACGGGCCCCCCGCGTAGTCCGGGGCGGCCTCAGCAGCCTCGGCGCCGCCTCCAGCGGCGCCCCTCCGCCGATGCCCGAGGCAAAAGCCGCAGAGCGACGATCGAAGACCTCAGACCTCCGGCGCGGGAGTGCCGCCTGGGGGCAGGTGCAGCGCACGAGGCCCGGCCCCGCTGGGAAGGCTTCGGGCTGCGCGCAGGCAGCCGCCCCGGGCAGTCCCGGCTGGCCTCAGCAGGCCCCGAGCAGCCCGGGGCGGTCTCGGCCACCTGGCGCCGCCTCCGGCGGCGCCGCGGGGCCGCTCCGCGCCCCCCTATATAGGGCGCGTTTCGGCACGTGCCCGCCGTGGCCGCCGGAGTATCCCCTCCCCCCGACGTTGGGAAGCGGCGCCTGAAAGAGCTTTGTGAGGGCTGCGATCTTTGCTTGAGTCGGGCATATCCCTCTACAGGAGGAATATTCAATCATTGTGAACAAATTATCTGGGCAGGAGTTTCTTTTCATTTCCAGTATCTTTTGGAAAGCGCGCCAGTGGATGGGCCTGAATACACAAAAGGGGGGTTGTGCTCGCAGAAACCCCCCTCGTCAAAGGGAGGGTGAGATTTTCGAACCCTCCCCCCCCCCTCCCCCCCGTAAGGGGGGGGGGTCCGACCCCCCTCCCCCTCCTCCCTTGACGGGGGGGGGGTCCCGACCCCCCCCCCTCCCCCCCTTGGCGCTGGAAAGGAGGGGAGGGGGTTAGAACCCCCCCCCCTCCCCCCCTTTGCGCCGAACAGGGGGCTTGGGAGGGGGCCTCCCGGGTAGTGAGTAGGGAGTAGAGTGTTTTGAGTAGCGATTGGTGTGTAGTGTGTATTTGATAGTGAGTAGTGCGCAGTGAGTTGTGAGTGATGAGTAGTGGGTAGTGGGTAATGGGTAGTGGTATTAATGAGTAACGCGTAGAGATTAGTGAGTATTGAGTAGTGGGTAGTGCGTAGTGGGAAGGAAGTAGTGAGTAAGGAGTTGCGAGTAGTGAGTAGTGAGGAGTTAATCGTGTGTAGTGAGTAGTGCACAGGGAGTAGTAAACAGAGAGTAGGGATGAGGGGGTAGACTGTAGCGACTAGCGAGGAGTGACTAGTGAGTAGTGCGCAGTGAGTAGAGGGTAGTGTGTAGTGAGTGGTGAGTAGAGAGTAGCGAGTAGCGAGTAGGGAGTAGCGAGTAGGGAGTAGCGAGTAGTGAGTAGTGAGTAGCGAGTAGGGCGTTGTGAGTAGTGAGTAGTGAGGAGGGAGTAGCGAGTAGTAAGTAGTGAGTAGGGAGTAGCGCGTAGCGAGTAGGGAGTAGCGAGTACTGAGTAGTGAGTAGTGGGTAGTGAGCTGTGAGTAGTGAGTAGGGAGTAGTGAGTAGTGAGTAGTGAGAAGCCAGAAATTGAGTAGGTGGTAGTGAGTAAGGAGTAGCGAGTATAAATTTGTGAGGAGTGAGTAGTGAATCGTGAGTAGTGCTTAGTGAGTAGTGAGTAGTGTGTAGCGACGTGCGACTAGTGGATCGTGAGTAGGGAGTAGGGAGTAGGGAGTAGTGAGTAGCAAGTAGTGCGTAGTAGGTAGTAAATCTGTTGTATTCGGTAGCGAATAGGGGATAGTGAGTTGTGGGCAATGCGTAGTGAGTGGTGAATTGTGAGTTCTCAGTAGTACGTAGTGGACAGTGGTCAGTGGGTAGTGAGTAGTGATTAGTGAGTACTGGGCAGTGAGTAGTGTTCAGTGAGTAGTGAGTATTGAATGCTGGGTAGTGAGTAGTGAGTGAGTGGTGAGTACTGTGGAGAGAGTACCGAGTAGCGAGTAGTGGATATTGAGTAGTGAGTTGTGTGCAGTGAGTAATAAGTGGTGATGTATGAGTAGTAAGTAGTGCTTAGTGGTTAGTGGGTAGTGGGTAGTGATTTGTGATTGGGGAGTAGTGGGTAGTGAGTTTTGTTGAGTGAGTAGTGAGTATAGAGTAGTGGTAGTGAGTAGTGAGTAGTTTGTAGTGAGTAGCGAGTATGAATTAAGGAGTAGGGAGTATATAGTGAGTAGTGCGTCGTGGGTAGTGAGTCGTGGGTAGTGATTAGTGAGTCTTGAGTAGTGAGTAGTGAGAAGTGAGTAGTAAGTAGCGAGTAGTGAACTGTGGGTAGTGAGCAGTGCCTAGTGAGTCGTGAGTACTGTTTTGGGCTTGGGTTTGGTTTTGGGGTTAAGGTTAGGGGTTAGGGTAATGGTGAGGATTAGTGCTAAGGGGTGGTAGGGTTCGGGGTCCGGAGACTGGGGCCGCCCTGGCGAAAGGAGGGGAGGGGGCGGGGGATCTGAATTTTGCGGCCAAAGGGGTGGAGGGGGGGGTGGTGGTTCGGAACCCTCCCCCTTTATTTGACAGGGTGGACGGGGAGGGGGGGTTCCCCGACGACGGACCAGGAAAGGGGGGGGGTCCCCGACGACGGATCGGGAAAGGGGGGGAGGGGGGGGGGTCCCCGACGACGGATCGGGGAAGGGGGGGGGGTCCCAACCCCCATCCCCCCTTGGGGTCATCCAGCGGCGCGCCCTCTATCTGCTGACTCTTTAGTTTTTTTCTTGCAAGATCCGCCTGTAGGAGGAGATGCCCGACCTAAATCTATGCCTCCTAAGTTGGGTCCGATGTATCGGCGATGCGGCTCGATGTGGAGCCCGATTTTCGCCACGCTGGAGTCGCCGTTGCATCGCCGATGCATCGGCGTATCGGCGATGCGGCGCGATCCTCCGACTCGATCTGCTCCGGCCCCAGTTAGGCGGCCTCTATACTGAGCCCAGCGGAGGGGCCATGAGGCCAGCTTGGGCTCGCGGCCAGCGCAGAGCTTGTAGACGCTCCCGTCTCGTTGCCCCCTCGGCCGGCTGTCCCGCCGCCGCGGCGGGACCTCCCACGACATTTTGGCCGCCTCCACTGCTGGCGCGAAGCTTGGAGGGCGCTCTCCATGCTCGTCATCACGCGGGGGCTGCTCGTCCTCACTCGATGAGTCTCGACGCGTGCGCGCCTCCAGAGTGGAGGCGCGGACCGCCCCGACCTTCTCTCTCGGGGGGGGGCCTGTCGACACCAGCCTGCGCTGCTTGGGAGGCCTGTTGAGGCCAGCCGGGTCTGGCTACCCAGGGGGCTGCTAGTGCGCAGCCAGAAAAGCTTGATCATTTGGCCCCCTCCTGACTCCTTCCTTCCTTCGCCCTCCTGCCTCCCTCCACCCAGGCAAAGAGGCTCCATTGAGGCTAAGGAGCACTGCGTTCTGATCTAGCACGCGAGCGCCTGTCAAGGCAGTTCCACGACAGTCATCTGTTCTCTTCGTTCTCCCCTCCTCCCCCTCCCACTCTCTTCCTCCTTCGCCTGCTCCCAGAAAGGTGCGGTTCGGTCGTCTCGGCTGCGTCGCAGGTCGTTCGCTTCGGTTCGGTTTGGTCAGTTGCTGTGCCGTTGCTGCTTGGCTGCGCCCTTCTCGGCTGCCTCTGCGGCTCGTCGATGTCGGTCGGTTTCGGCCTGTCAACCTGTCGCCGTTGCCGAGGCCGCCTCTGCTTCTTCCTTCGGGGAGTCGGAAAGGGGGGGTCGGGCCGGTGGTGATGGAGGGGAGGATGATGCCATGGGTCAGCACGTCGGGGGCGGGGACTTACAGTGGGGGCCCATGCCAATAAACGCCCTGCTTGCCTCCAGGGTGCCCTGGGTTTCTTGGGTTTCTATGGTTTTGCTATGGACAGCGTGACGTTCCCTCACCAAGAATCAGTGGACGTCCTGGGATCTCAGGGTTGGGTTTCTTGTGGAAGGTCTCCTGTGGACTGGCCTCCACTGAAGTTGGCCGCGGAAGCGCCAGGGCCGTTCTGTCGCCACTTCCGAGAAAAAACGGCTTCTCGAAAACGGAAACGGTACAACGACGGCGACCAGAAGTGGCAAAATAATGGTTTTGGGATCGGAGCCGCCGCTGGACATGGCAATTCACATACAACACGGACCTTGAGGACAATTTGCTTTGGCGTTTCCAGGGCCGTTTTTTTCCGCGGCGGCTCTCTGGCCCGGCCGTGCTGCCGCGCCCTTGGACCGCCGGCGCGTCCTACGCGGCCCCACGCCGTTGGCGCCGTCCTGCAAGGGTCTCGTTTCCCGTATCCGAGGGCTCGCTGAGCTCGCGACCAGCAGCTTCTCGAGGACGTCTCAAGCAAAACGCTTGGCTTTGTAAAAAGCACTGTCGCTCCTGCTCCTGCTCCTGCTCCTCCTCCTCCTCCTCCTCCTCCTCCTCCTCCTCCTCCTCCTCCTCCTCCTTTATGTTGCGACCTACCGGGAAGAGTTTGTTATCCCGCCAGACCCCCGAATTTTAGAATCCCCACCCTGTGATTATCGGGGGCATAGGGTTCCCCCCGCTCGCTAGACTTCCTGCTTAGCTCTCCCCGCACTATACACCACCACCAGCCCGGGCCAGGCACTTCCTGGTCCCTGGATTCGCGCACAGGCCTCCTGGCTTGGGCCAGGAAGGCCTTTACACCAGTCCAGGGCCCACGACAGGCCTCTTCATGGCTGGTGGTGGTATATCATCCTCGTTTGAGTCCTGTTTTATTCACGTGCCAGCAAAACATCCGTTGCCACCTCCACATGCCACTTTTTAGTTTTAAGTCGGGCCTGTCCCTCCACAGGAGGAACATTCAAACATAGTGAAACAATAGTCGGGGGACGATGTCTGACTATTTTTGAGCATCCTTATTTGTTATTGATATTTTTTAATTTTTCTCCCAAAATCCCCCTGTAGGGGGACAGGCCCGACCTGATCCTAATCCCTCCCCCTCCTCCTCCTCCCCTCGTCCTCGACCCTCTACAACCCCTCCTTGCCCTCCGCCAGCTCCTCCCTCCGCCCGCATCCCGCCCCCTTCCCCCCCGCGGCGCCCGCACGAGGTGGCCTCGAAGGTCGAGGAGTTCATGGGCTGGCTCGGCTGAGGCCCGCGGCGCGGTCAGGCGGCGACGCCGCGAGGCGCGCCCCCCTTCGATCCGAACGAGTCGATTCGGTATCGTCTCCCCGACCCCCGTCCCCATCCCGATCCTCTTCAAGACCCCTACCAAGTGACCCCCCCCAGTTGGGGATACACCCCTCGCAACCCGAAGGATGCGGCCTGTATCCCCATCTACGGGGGTTCATCGGCCAGGGGGGCCCAGGCCACGTCGCTGGGGATGAGGAGCGGTTCAGCGATACTTGTCGATAGGGAATCGCGAGACTTATGACGTTCCAGCCCACCTTAGTTTTGATCACCAGAGAGAATGTCGAGCACCAAGGGACTGCCGAACCTGCAGCGTTTTCGCGTGGCGGGCCCTGGGAGGCGATGCTCTTTCGGCACTTCGCTGGCGTGTCGGGCAGGGCAGACACTCTTTCGATACTTTTCAGGTGCCCGAAATTACTTCTGGGATGTGGTCCACAAGTACGATGGCTACAACATAACTCAAGGGGGAACAAACCACACAGAGCCGATAATTGGCGCTAACCAAACGGCCTCTGGCGTTTACCAAACAGCCCTGCCCTGTTCGATTCCTTCCTTGGGTGCGTTTATTCAACGGCCTCGCTGGTCGGAGTGGTTATTCTGGGGGGATGTTATTGCCTTTGAGTAATGACACAAGACTGTACCTCCTGAGTGTTCCCTGCCTGGCGTCAAGTCGGGCATGTCCCTCTACAGGAGGAGTATGCAGACATAGTCACAACAACAGTCAGGGGAAGATTTTGGAGTCTTTGTTGATCATGATTTGATATTTTTTGAGTAATTTTATGTTTGGCTCCAAATCCGCCTGTAGTGGGACGTGCCCGACCTCAGCCTGGCGGCCCCTGCGGCTTTCGTCAGGCGATCGCAGACATGGATCAAGGGGGCGTGGATTAGCGGCGGGTCCCGTTTCCATATGACATCGCTGATCTCCGCCGCGGAGCGGGGCGGCACCGGTCGCATTTTTGGGAGGGCTTTTCCCCCGATCCATGGACTTGGCGACCGCGCGCCAAGTCCACGGATCGCTAATCCGTGTTTGCGCGCCCCCGACAAACGGGGCCCGAGGCTCGAGGCTCAAGGTGTTCGGCGTTTCCGTCGGTTCTCCGCGGCTGCACGGCCTCGGCATGCTCCCTCCAGCAGCTGCGCCTCGTCGAGAGCGTCCTCGGGGGGGGCCCGGATCGGCCCTAACGGACGCCTCAGAGCCGAGTCACGCAGGGCCCGCAAGCCCAGACCTCCAGTGCAGCAAGGCGGCGGCCATTCGCGCCCCCGATTTCGGGCCTCGGATCTTCAACCGGCCGCTGGCCTCCCCTCCGCCGCGCGTGCCGCCCCCCCCCCGGCCCTCTCGCGCCTGTCGCCCCTGCTTTTTGTCGGGCCCTCTCGGTCGCTCCCGCTGCTGCTTGAGATGGGCGCATCTTCCACCACCGCCACCAGGAGCGGCACAGGGGGAGAAGGGAGGACGAGGAGGTCCTCCTCCTCCTCCTCCTCCTCCTCCTCCTCCTCCTCCTCCTCCTCCTCCTCCTCCTCCCCCTCCTCCTCCTCCCCCCTCTCCTACTTCTGGTATAGTGGCGGTGGAGCATGGGCCCATCAGCTGCTGACTCGAACCACGTCCAAGACAGAATGATTCGATAGGGACGTTGTCGGCGAATTCTCGGACGCTTTCGTAGTATCTCAGAGGCTTTTTCCTGCCTCGGGATGCGTTCCAGCAGGTGCGCCTCGCCGGAGCGCGTTTCGGGATAAGTTGAAGGGGGGGTGGTCCTCCTCCGCCTCCTCTTCCTCCTCCTCCTCCCTCTCCTCCTCGTCGTCCTTCTCCTCCTCCTCGTCCTCAACCTCCTTCCCCGCTCCAACTTATGGTTTATGGTGGTGGTGGTGGTGGAGGAAGACAGGCCCGCATGGTGGCCCGAATGCCGGGGTCAGGCGCCGTGTTCGATCCGATCCGCTCCGATTCGATAGCGCTTCTCCAGTCAGCCCGATCATCCGATTCGATTTTCCGATTTTCCGACCCCAGCGCGGCCCCGGTGCTAGCATTCGGGGGAAGGATAGTGGCAAATGCCGTTGAAGTCGGGCCTGTCCCTCTACAGGAGGAGTATTAGTTAAAAAATCAGATGGGGATTTGTTTTACCATTTCAATTTCGGAGCATTTGTTGGGTATTTATTGTTTAAAATCCCCCTGTAGAGGGACATGCTCGACCCAAGGATAATGGCAAATGGCATGAGCATAAGCATTCGGAGGGCCGCGTTGATTTCTCGGACTGGCGCTGGCCCCCCTCCCGACGGCGCCTCTGGCGCGCTCCGCGCGCCAGGGAGGTGGTCCAGCGCCGATCCAAGAAATCGGCGCGCGCCTCCGAAAGTTTTTTCACCTGCGAATGTGAGTAGTCGCTCCTCGATGCATGTCGCTCTTGTGCATCCTGGCGCCGCCGATGCATGAATGCGATTTCGACTCCGTGCCGAGGCAATCCGACCCGATGCGCGTTATTCCTCAATGTGATCCGACTCATCCATCAGACGCTGTCTGGTCCTTGTCCCTCCTGCGAACGCACTGCGCGACTCTCCCGCCTGGATCTCACGAGCGTGAACCCCCGAGAGATCCGACGCTGCAAAAAACTACAGCCTCGCGAAACACTGCGACTGGAGCCGCAGGTCCCATGCTTCCGCCGCATGTTTCGAGCCGGATCGATCGGTGATGGTTCGGGTCCTGAAACAGGGGGAACACGCACGAAGCGAGAAAATTGCATTAAGAAGAGCATGTCCCTCCTGCAGGAGGAGGACTCCCAAATCAGTGAAATAACGAGATGGGGACGACTTTCCTACCATTGTTCAGTACTGTCGAGCATTAATGATTCATTTCATGTTATTTTCGACGTTGACTATTTTGAATTTTCCCTTCAACATTCGCCTGTAGGGGGACATGCCCGACCTAACAATTGCAACGGCTGGATCTCAGGGTCTCTCTCATGCGTGTCGCGCACGCCCGGGCAACGCCGACACCGCGGGGCCAGTGGAATTTGTTAGCCGCCCCGCCCGGGCCGCCACCTGTACAGCGCGCAGTTTAGTGTGCGGGGGCTCGCGCGGCGGAGGTTCAGGTTAGAGGCCCAGAAGCGAAGGCATCAACACTGATATATTAATAATTACTGGGAGGAGGCGGAGATATCGAAGAACAAATAGCGTCCAGCCATAAGCTTTCGGAGCTCCGCTGGGATTTCTCGGATCTGCTCTGCGCTGGCCCCCCTCCCCCAGCGGCGTCTCCGGCGCTAGGGAGGGAGTCCAGCGCAGATCCACTGAATCCGCGCGGAGTTCCGAAAGTTTCTGTCCAGGTTTTTGTTGCTTCTCTAGATCGGGGGCGCGCGTCCCAGGGCGGCACAGGAGCTTATACCTCTACGCTGGCAGATGGGTGTGTGAGCTTTCCGCCGCTACGGGGCAGGCGTCCCCAACGGCGAAGACGTGTCTGTTGCACCGCTCTTCGAGAGGCGGAGGCTGCACAGATCCATGCAAACAAACATCGGCAATGCACCTCGACGGGTTGGCGTGGCCCTCCGGCCCGCGGAGCCGCCAGAGAGCCCCCGAGCGGCCTCAGGGTCCCTAGAGGGCCCCAAGAGGGTCCCAGAGGTTTTTGGATGGTCCAAGGTGGCTCCGCGACGGCCCATGGTGCTCTCGAGACGGACGGCCCACGATGCGCTCCCGTGACACCTCAAGACGCACCGATACGTACCCAAGGGGCTCCCAAGGTGGCGGGACGAGGCGAACATCCATACGTGTTTGTTTTGTCGGCAATTCCGGCAGGGGGCACCCCCTATTCAGGTCACCCCCCATTGCCACCCGCCTGATTTTGGTGTACTTACGCTTTCCAGCCTCAGGCCCAACTTGCGATCGTCGTCGAATCCTACCCCTGCAGATCCAATCGGCGTTGGGGTATTGGACACCCCCGCTGGGGTTCACTTGGTTGCTGACGTCCTTCTGTTCTGAACCCCGATAGATTCTTAATCTATCTGTTATGCAGGGTAGGGTTCCCATGAATGACGCAGAGAAAAGGGGCCGTTTTCACCGACTCGGCGTGGGCACGTGACCGACGACGAGGGCTGTACGTTTCCCCAGCGCGTTCATCGGAGCGACCGCGGACATGCGGCGCAGTTATGGCAGCTCCAGCAGCAGTTTGCGGGTGTGCTGCGTTCGAGGAAGTCGTACGTGGCGGTGGACGCGTCAGCGGCCATCCCGGATCGAATTCTCGGTGCAAAAGGTTGCGAGCGTTGCAGCAGGGAGCCGCGCAGCCCTTGAGGCCTGCGCTGGTGGGTTGGCGACGGCGCCCCAGAACAGCGGGGGCGGGCCGCTCGGGGCGGCGACCCCAGAGGCCGCCGTTGGAGACGGGGAGACGGGCGACGCGCCGCCGGCGGGGGTGGCAACTCCCCCGCGAAGAGCGCCGAAGCTGGAGCACGGACGTGACAGCGCTGACGAAGGCAGCCGACGGAACTCGACCTTCTCCGACGACATGCCAGGCCCCGAGGATTGTGACTTTTGCGGCCAGATGTGCCCAGCCCCCTAGCTTGGCGGAGACGGCGAAGTCGGCGGACAATTGTGAGGACGGAGCGTCGGGCAGGTCGTCGAGCTCCCCCAGCTCCGACGGGTCGAAGGGGGCCGCCCAGGGGAAGGTCGCAGCGGCGGCGGGCCCCGCAGTACCCCCGGGACCTGGCGCGCCGCCACCCGCCCCCTGACGGAGCAGCTGCGAGGGTGCCGGGAGGGCCCGCTCGGCCGAGGAGGGCGAGGGCCCCGACCTTCCAGGCCCTGGTTTGGCTTTGGCTTTGTCCAGGGGCGATGGAGTTGAGGCGCTGCGACTGTCATGGTCGAGCCGCCAAATGGCGTGGCAGCGCCGCGGGAACGCGAGCTGCGTCTGTGCACGGGCATGACGATGCTCGGCCAGTTCCGCGCGAACTGCAGGCAGGGGCCACGCAGGCGGGGGCCCGCGGCAGCGCTGGGCGCATG